CGGAGTTTGGGCAACCACCTGATCCTACAGTGAGCTAGATATGGCTTCTTCGTTGGTTGTCGGGCGGCGTCTGATGCGCGCTCTGGGGCCTGGCGGGGAGCTAGAGTCAGAGAAGCTGCCCCGGAAGTTGCGGGCCGAGTTTGAGGCCGCTGTGGGGAAGAAGCACAAGAATGTTGGTAGTCCCAGTGGCCCCCGACGCTTGGTTTCCTTTCGTCTGATTCGGGATCTGCACCAGCATCTCAGAGAAAGCGGTGAGCCCATTTTCAGTTGGAGGTCGCCTCTTTGTTTCCAGATCTTCCCCCTCCTGAGATCTTTTCCATTCCCCTCCTGCGCCTGCGGAGTACTCATGTAACCAACCCAGAAGTCTCTTCATAAACCCCAGGGCCACCCATTTCTTTCTCCACTCCTGTGCGAATTTTTCGTGGGTGACAAAAACAACTTCTGCAGACTGCTTTCTTGACAGTCTGGTCTGGCACACCTAGGTCCACCTGACCCTTGAGAATGTTGAGGTTCCAACTCAATGCCATCTGCCGGGTTCAGTGTCTTTCTTTTTCACCACCGTAGCGACCAGTTTAGCATACGGAGCTTGTCCTGTTTGGGCGTTTGGATTTCTTTCCATCTCGATTGCAAGAGTGAGGAAGTCTGATTTTTTTTTTTTTTTTGAGATAGTGTAATAAGCTACTTTGAAAGATCTGGACTAGGAGTAGCATATGAGTTCTAGTCCTAGAACTGTCGGTAATTCCCACCTGAGGAAGTCTTTTCACTGAACCTCAGTTTCCTTATCTGCAAAGAAAGAGAAGACAAACCTACAAGTGTTGTACCAGGATTAACATAGCCTAGCCAGAAGTGCAAAGTAGACTGCTCACCTGTTAGAATTAACAAGAATGTTAGAAAGACGTTATCTAATCTGTTACAGTGTTCTCTGGGTATTTAGCATCACTGTGACATAACCCAGAGGCAAAGTATTAGGTGTTGGTTATCACTTTGGCAGGGTAATTGAAAGCTGACAGTTAAAGTCACTGTACAGCGCTAGAAAGTATGTAGAAATTTCCCCAGTTTGAAAATCATCCTGGGGATAGGTGACATAGGGATGGCCATGTTCTATTTTGGTAGACCCTTTACGTATCTTAATCTTTCAACCTCAGTTCAGGGTCACTATGTGGAAGCATTTTTTTCCCCAGGTTCTACACTATACCTTCATGAGCTTTTAGAAGGCAGTGAAATCTATGTCCCAGAGGTTGTGAAGCCTCCTCGGGTAAGGAAAGTGTATACTTGTGAGAGTGGTTAATGATTGAGTTGGATGTCAAATTTATTAATCACCTTTTGGGCTTGAAAATTTATGTTTTAAATCTTCAGACTCTGGGATGAGGGAACCTTCTGTATTTGACAGCTTTGAGAAACTTTTATCCAAAAATGAGTTTCCAAAGCAGTGAAAGTATGACTGGCAGGCATATGGGTCTTCTGGCACCCTTATCAAGTACTGTCTCCTTTGGAATCAATGACTGTGCCTTACTTTCTTGCAAGAAATATGTAGAAGAATGTCATTCTTTTCATGTGATTCTTCTGCTTCAGAATCCAGAGTTAGTGGCCCGACTGGAAAAGATTAAGATACATCTGGCCAATGAGGAATATAAGCGGATCACTCGTAATGTCACCTGTCAGGTAAGGGTCTGCTTTTCAGTACATGCTGTGCCCCTAAAAACAGGACATTGTGTGGGGGATTTAGTGGTGCTGCCGTCTGCCTCACAAGTGTAAGGTCCCGAGCTCGTTCCCCGGTACAAAAACAGGGCCTTGTCCTAGAAGTATAGAGGAAAGAAACAACGTAAGCCCTCTGCATTGCATACAACTAAATATAATTCTCATTTCACTCACTGAGACTCTTGTTTTAGATGGTGATTAATTTTTTTCCTGATATCGGGGTGGGTGAACTCAGGACCTTGCACTTGCAAGGCAGTTGCAGTGCCATTGAGCCAACTCCCCGGCCCTATGATGATTAATTCTTAAAAAAAAAAAAAAAAATTTTTTTTTTTTGTACCAGGGATCGAACTCAGGTCCTTGTGTTTTCAAGGCAGGCAGCGGAACCAATGAGCTAAATCCCCAGCCCTACAGTGATTAATTCTTAAAACATTATAGAGGGCCAGGGATTTAGGTCAGTGGTGTGGCCACCTGCCTTGCAAGTGAAGGGTCCCAAGTTCAATCTCCCATATCAAAAAAAAAAAAAAAAAACATTGTAGATATAAAGATGAGTCTTGAAGTCTTTTGGTTGTTTTTGGTACCAGGAATCAACTGCTTCCTTTGGCAGACATATACTAAAATTGATACTGGGAATTGAACTCAGGACCTTGCTCTTGTCAGGCAGGCATGGCACTATTGAATTACATCCCTTGGAATGTTTTTTCTTTTCTTTTTTTCTTTCTTTCTTTTTTTTTTTTTTTTTTTTTTTTTTTTTTTTTTTTTTTTTGGTACCGGGAATCGAACTTGGGAACTTGCGCTTGGTGAGGCAGATGGAGGAACCACCAAGCTAAATCCCCAGCCCAGAGTCTTTTTTCTTGACCGAACTCTGCACTGTTCTCTTACGTGCTCCTGCCCTGAAGCGAGAGAGGTATTGAGAGCCTTTGTCCTCTTCTCTGTAATGCTTGATATGTGGTACAGAAAAGAGGCAGATTGGTTCTAGGCAAAGGAATCCATGAAGAATGCGAGCTAATTTATTAAGGAGTAGAGAGGGCTGAGCCCAGACCAACAAATGGGAGCTCTATGGGCCGCTCCTTGAGCTGCTTCTGTTCCAAAATTGTCTGCTTTTGCTTTTGCCTAGGATTCAAGGCTCAGTGGGACTCTTGGTGACTTGGGAAAGCAAGGTAAGATACTCAGAAACCAGGCTGCTAAAGCCTTTCCCTGAGTTGGGTCATAACCTCTTTCCCACCCCAGCATCCTGGGTTAAAGGCTGAGCTATTCAGACTTGCTCTTGTTTTGTTTTGTTTTGGTTTGGTTTTTGGTTTTTGGTTTTTTGAGACAGGGTCTCACTATGTAGTGAGACTGACCTGGAACTCATTATGTAGTTTAGGCTGGTCACTCACAGCGATCCTCCTGCCTCAGCCTCCCGAGTGCTGGGATTACAGGCATGTGCCATCACGCCCAGCTAGACTTGCTCTTTTAAGGGAACCCAGTTGATAGAGGTCAGAGGGCCTTCTGGAGAATGCTGACCTAAAGGTTTCTTCTCTGGATTCCTCCCTAAAGTGAGATCGGTGAAGGCTCTGGTTATCACCATCTTCAACTTCATTGTGACGGTCGCAGCTGCATTCATCTGCACTTACCTTGGAAGCCAGTATGTCTTCACAGAAATAGCCTCGGTGAGTGGGCACTGGGCAGGCAAAGTGCTGCAGGTGGGGGTGTTAGTGGGAAAGGGAGAGTGTATGAAAGTGTCTTGCACAGGGTAGAAATTGAGCATGTATTTATGCAGTAAACAAGGAGAACATTCGAGCCCTTCAGTGTTTGTGGGATGGGCCAGGGCCCCTTCCCCTTTCCCCCAGTTTAGGGGCCGGTTTGAGAGTTCTGTATCCCTTAAGCCTACTTCTCTTCTTTCCTAGCGTGTGCTGGCTGCATTGATTGTTGCCTCAGTGGTGGGCCTAGCTGAGCTGTATGTCATGGTGCGGGCAGTGGAAGGTGAGTTGGGAGAGCTGTGACTGGTGCTTCATCATCAGAATCTGCAGAAGGTTTTGGGGTCATCAGGCTCCCAACTGCCAATCACTGACTCGGTCAACCCATGAGGCTTCTTGTACTCAGCTCTAGTTAGTCAGAGGACCAAACCAGGCCACCTGCTGTTTGTGTGAGGAGCCCCATCTTCTGTAAATTTCCAGAATGAGCAGTGAAGGAAACTCAGACAATACTTCTTTTAAACTAAAAGAATTGGTATCTTGCAAGAACCCATTGCCCTCCTGTCTCCTCCAGTCGGTTCTGAGCTCTGCTGGGACTGGGTTTTTTCCATCAGGAGTAAATGGAATCCAGGCCTCCTCAGAAGACGGACCATACTGCCTTGAACTTGTCCTAGTGCTCACCTCACATCTTTGGTGCAGGCTGGTAATTGAGAGCAGAAGCCTCTGAGAAGGGAGAGAGGCTCCATCTCTCCAGTGTTTGGTGGAGGCCAACAGTTGAAAGCAGAAGCTTCCAAGAAAAAGGAGAAAAGGGCTGCATCTCTCCAGTCTAAGCTGGAAAGGGATTTGATTAGGGAACAGATAACCAATAAGAGAAAAACGGATTGATACAGGGTAGTGGAACTGGAAGCCAGGCAGCTACCATTTGGGAAAGGGAAGTAGTATTGATCCCTTTTCCAGAAGGCAAAACAGACCCAGAGAAATCAACCAGCTGTGAGCCTTCCCCTGTTAATTGGAGCCAAAGACTCTTCCATTGTCTGGATGTCTCTGTGTAATACTAAACTTCTGAGAACTTAAGTAAGTGGTGTGATGACAGATCTGTCTGTATAATGCACTTAAAAAGGTGTCAACCCCAATTACTTAATAAATATTTATTGTGTCCATTAGTGTTCTTATTTGAAGTTGGTGACAAATATACAAAGCACAAGATTTCTTCTGAGACGTGTGCAGCGCCTGCTAGCAGTAGAGCTGTCTTCCTCTTCATTCATTGCACACAGTTCTGTGTACAATGTACACAATGTAGTGTTTGCTTTTTCCAAAGCTTTGCTGTTTTTATAAATTATACATTCACTGGCTTGATAAAAATCTTCTCAACAAAATTTACCAGTTTTTGTTAGTTGGGAGAAGTGTTAGCTGTGAGAAAATTTAAGTGGCATTTTTAGTGTTCTGGTCACCTGAACTGTAGAAGATTAGTTAGAAAGCTGCACTGAGGCCTTGTGGGGATTCGTGGCTATGCCTCCCTGTGTCAGCCCTCCAGCTTAGCTGCTATATAGCCTCAAGCTTCCACACACACCCTCCACCTGCATACCTGACATTAGGTAGGAAGGCTTCCAAATGTTAAAGACATTTTAACTTTATCATTAGAATCTCGAGCAGATTCTGGCCCAGGGGTGGGAGGAATCTCATAATGAGTCTGTCTTCTGTCCCCATTCATTAGGATGGAGTCTCCCATGAGCTCACAGGCTTCTGTGACATTGAGCCTTTACTGTGGGCCTGGCACTGCTAGCCTCTGGGGATAAAGAGGTAAGAGTCCTAGCTCCTGCCTAGAGTGTAATGAAGTGGCCACTATGCAAAATCTGTAAGGCCAGAGTTAGGCTTAGAAATCAGTTGTCCTGCCCTCCAGCTCAGCTCAGAGAAGTGAACTCTGCCTTAGCCACTTCTTCTGAGTGTACCATGCTTTCTCCATTGAACTCGGTCAGGGAGTATACAGCAGGAGGTTGGAGGAACAAGAAGTTTGAGGCCTTAGCTTCCTGGCTAGAGCAGCAGAACTAGCATTTGTTGAGTTTTTACTATGTGCCACATATGTTTAAAAAAATTCTAAAGTGGGGAGGAAGCAAGTATTACTATCCCTGCCATTCAAGCACAATGAATTTCAGAGAGTTTCCATGTGCATAGCAGAGCTAGGGTGTGAATCCAACACAGACTGATCACAAACTGCTTTTCTCCCCAAAGCAGAGCTGCTCCAGAGATGGAGGTATCTCACAACACTGGGACCTGGACAGAGTACTAGCAGAAGCTCCCACCTCCTCAGGGTCTTTCAGACCCCTAAACCCTTCAGTTAACTATTCTAACATCTAATCCCAGCAGAAGCCTGAGTAATACCTCCCACCCAGTCTCTATATGGACCTGGCCCTATTTAGGGATTAGGTGATGCAGATAAATTTCCAAGGCAAATGGCCCTTGTCCCCATTCACTGGCAGCACACAACGGTCCAGATTAAGGTACAGAGTTGGGTTTTGTTTGGAGATTAGTTGGTATTACAGATGATGATACAAAAACCCATTGTTCTATATCCCCTCAAATCAGGTCCCCACAGGTCTACGTCAGAGGGCAGCAAATATAATCTTATTTCTGCTTTATTGCTTTTGTGTCACTCCCCTTTCAGACCCATAGTGATTAATATGTCCAGGTGGTAAGAGATCAGAACAGGGTGTCCTGAACCGTAAGTGGGTCCCCAACAATTCAGACTTGGAGCAGCGGTCTCCTGCTTGCTTAGCAGTTAGGTAATGGCCTAACTGGCTCTCATCAAGCAATGGCTGCCCCTTATTTAGAGGGAGGAGTTCACCTGAGATGAGAATCAGGAACCAGGTGTGGCAGTAGATGGGAGTTATGTGGCCTCCTACCAAGACAATGGGCATCTACCCCAGGAAAGGTCAGGGTGCAGGGTAACAGGAGCCAAGCCCCAGTCGCTACAGGTGATCTACACCTAGGCTGGCCTGGAGACCAGTGTGAGGGGGCTAAATTCTCTTCATTGTGTTCTTTTTTTTAGTACTGGGAATCAAACTCGGGACCTTGCACTTGACGGGAAAGCGTGGCTGCTGAGCTACATCCCAGCCCTAAATTCTCTTTGTATTAGAGAACTTGTTTGTGTAAATAGAGAGGGCAGGGTATAAGAGCTAGAGAAGAGGAATCTTACAAATTCAGCCTCAGGATTAAGAGTGATCCACATTGGTGACAATGGCCAAGGCTTAAATAAGGTCAGAGGGGCTGCCTAGTGAGGTCTGAGGAGTAGCTCACTCCAAAGAAGGGTGGACTCCTGGAACCCCAGCTGGTCCCCATGGGGCTGCAACTTTAGCCCCTGTCCAGCCCTGCCCTAGAGCCCATCTGGGAGCTTTACCGAAAGCCTGCAGACGCACTGAGGCACGAGGAGCTGTGCTGGTGGCAGGTAGAGGCTGGCCCACCATTTGGGGTTCCCAGGGCTGCTGAGGGCCATCTGGAAGAGAACAGCAGTTCTGGAGATAACTCAGGCCTGGGATCAAGGCTTCCTGGCTTCCTGTGCTTGTTTCTCTTGGCCCTTCGGTTCTGGAACCACACCAGGTAGGGAAGACAAAAGGATCTATTCTGGCTCCAACAACCCTTCCCCTGCACCAGGGAAAACAACCTGCAGGTAGGATACTCAGAGGAGAGGCTGCAGGTCAAGCTCAAAGTTGGCTGAGTGAGAGTGCCCTGTCATGATGGGGGTCACAGCTCACCTGTATCTTGGCTTTGGGCAGGCAGGTGAATCGGGCTAGGTGCTCACGAGTGCTGATACTGGGTAGGGCCATGCTGCAAACACCCGCTCCAGCTCCAGCAGCTGCCCAACTCTGAAGGTGGTCCTCTTTCTCCGGTGAGGACCCTACTCATTGGCACAGCCTGTGGGCCAGGCTGATGGTGAAACCAGGACTTCTTGTTAGCACCTCTACCCAGCCTCAGAGCCTGCCTTCCACAGATCCTGCAAACTTACTCCTCACCCTCTCCAGCCTTCCCCACCATACCTTGCCCCCTCTTAACCCTGCCCACCCTCTTCCCACTAGGTCACCTGTGGAAGATGCCTCCACAGGTCTAGCCATGGAGCTAGCAGAGGGCACGGAGCTGGAGGGCCATGCCTGGGCTGTGCCCACAACACACATCTGCTGGGAGCTTCATACTCCTCAGAGTGGCTGGCCCCGCCCCCAGCAGGGGAGAGGTGTAAGAGTCCAGCTAAAGCAAATCAGAGAACTCAGGGAAAGGGGAGACCAGGGGCAGGATAAGGGCTGACAGGGTTATGGGTATGGTAAGTATATCCCCACCCCTTCTGAGCTCTGCCAAAGTAGCTGGTGCCGCAACCTCCTTCTCAAACCTCAGCCTCTGGCAGCTTGTGCCTGCACTCTTAAACCTCATGAAAATCCTCCCAGGGCTCCTTCTAGTTCCAGTGCTCCAAGTCTTTGGCTGCCCCCTCCAGAGCCCTCAGTGCCCTAGATCTGGCTGCCTTTGGGGGCGAGTGGGTGGAGTTCTAACCCACAACCCTAGCACTGGCCAGTGAAACTAGCCAGGATGAGAAGGTTGATAGGCAGCAGCAGATGGCAGGAGCCACCAGCTCTCAGCACGGCTGGGGAGCAGATGTCACCACAAGATTGCCCTTGGGGCTGCTCTAGATCTTTGCCTGCATCTAACCAACTCTCTGGTCACTCAAGACCCAAGATGGGCTTCCTGAGGTCCAGAAACCTGGAGCTAGAGGAGGTCCCACAGGCACCATGGGCGGGGGGCTAAGAACAATGGTTACTTCTATAATATTCTCTTCTTTGGAAATCTTCTGGGCTGTTTTGCTAAGTGACTACATGTGAATTTCCTTCCAGTTCCTGTCCTTCTGTATCTCTCCACACCTCAATCCCAGACCCAGGACAGAGATCTCAAAAAAGGGCTCACCGAGGGATAGGTTTGGAGGAGGAGGATGGCTGGTTCCCCAGGCACTCAGGAGCTAACTGGATTTCAGATTCAGGGCAGGCAGAAAAACTGAGCCAGAACCCCATGGTCTCTTACCCCTTCTGTGTCCTCCATGAATCTAATCAATTTCAGAGGCAAAGCAAGCCTCAGCACGCTTGGTAACACTTGTCATCATTAGTGTCTTGAGTGCCTGCTTAGCTGCTGGTGGGCTGCTGGAGGCTGCTTGACTCAGGAGGAAGGGTTACTTTTATGAGGCCCTCCCAAAGCCCAACTTTCCTGGTTCACAGTCCTAACCCCCCTTCAGACAGCCTAACCCTACCAGTACCCAGGGGTTCCAACCCTCCTGAAGGAGAAGCAAGGCTTACCCTCCTCCCATACCAGAGGATCTGCCCCAGAAAAGCAACTCATCAGAGGTGTCTTCCCAGATGTTCCACTGCCTGAGTCCAGCATGGGATGGACACAGCAAGGTTTTTCTCTCTTTCTTCCCTCAACCTGCCCCAACAGCCTATCTTCCCCTCCTTTAACCAGGCAGGGATCTGCCTACCCAAGTCAAGACAGTAGTCTTAAACTCAGGGCCAAGGGACCTTTATTGGGCAAGGAGGAGCAGGCCGGAGGAGGGAGCTATGGAGTCCCAGCTGTACGGGCTCTGACTCCTACAGGCGGCCCAGGGATGGGCACCCCAGCCAGTACTGGGCAATGGAGCGTGGGTAGGGAGGGTTCACGGTGTCCACTCGCCGTGTTCGGAGGTTGACTCGGTAGTACTTGTCTGAAAGAAAAGATAGGAGGAAGTGTGTGAGACCCACCCAGAACCTGCCCACTCTTGTCCTGAAAAGAACCCCAGAAGGGAAAACGACCATCTACAGTGCAGCCCCTGGCCTGGCTTCCTGGGGCCGCGGCCCGCAGACTGTGTTCAGCCCATGGGGACCAAGGCTAGCAGGGAAGGCAAGACCAGCTTCAAGGGAGGCAGAGGCTCCCACCTCCTGAGAAGAAGTAGACACTCTGAATGGGCTCGCAGGTGGCAGGCACAGCCCAGCTCATGTCATAGTCATCATAGCCCATTCCCAGTCCGCTCTCCTCACTGGAGAACCAGGAAAGCCAGAAGGAATGAGACGGCCGCTGGGCGTTCCGGATGCGGCTGCGGCTACCGCTGCGGCTACCACGGGAACGATAGCGTTTGCGGCTGCGACGTCTAGACTTTCGCTTCTTGGCCCCAGGAGAATGGAGCGCAGGGCCTGAGATGTAGATGTGGCCAAGCATGGCGGCGTCTACTTTCCCGGGCACACCGTGCCAGTCCCGGCTGATGAACTGAGGCTCTCTAGCACCACCTGTGGCAGGGCAGGGGTTAATGCAGGGCTTTAAGGGCCCAGACCCTGCTCTCTCCGGCAGTCTTCAGAATTCATTGGCTGTGCCATGTCGCAGCAAGCTGGTGGCAGAGCCCAGGACCCAGGCCTCAGGTTCTTTGTCCAATGTTCTTTCCTGTGTCCTCCCTCCACCACATCCATAACATCTCCTCCCCAAACCCTAGGCCACCCTAGCCCCTCAGCCACAGCCCCTCCCTCTACTGGCTGTGCTAGGCAAAGTCCAAATAAATTGAGGGGTGACAGTGGAGCCAAGCCTCCCCACAAAGGTCACCAAAAGCAAAGTCCCATCTGAGCAAACAGCTCTTGATCGATAGCCCCATAGGCTCAATCCCCTCCAGACAGCCTAGCTCTACCTCTACCCAGGGGTCCCAGCCCTCCTGAGACAGAAGCAAGGCTTGCCTTCCCCTCATACCAGAGGGTCTGCCCCAGAAAAGCAACTCAAAGATGTCCTCCCAGCTGCTCCGCTGCATCAGGGCAAAGTGCTCAAACACAGCCGACAAGGAGCTGCCTCCACACTCCTCCTGGCTGGGCTGGTACTGGAACTCGTACTCCCAGTACCGTCTCCCTAGGAAAATCAAGAAGGTGGGCCTGAGCAAGGCTGGAGAGCGCAGGGGCTGCAGAAGCTAGGAGCTCCTGGTGCAGGGTGGGGGTATATATGCTGGGGCCTGTCCCTGAGGAATCGTGGAAGGAAGCCAACCCCCTCCACTACCATACCTACCCATTCTCTCCCACCCCCTGAGTACCCTTGAAGAAGTAGACCCGCTCCCGGCCACTGTAGCTGTGGGCAGGGAGTGCCAAAGCTGCATCTAGGTTATCCGGAATGCCACCGAAGCCTTCAGAGATGTTTCGAGGGAAATCAGGGTCCAGGACACCATCCTCAAAGCGCCAGTATTGACCACCCTAAGAGGCAGGGAAGGTGAAAAGGCATGAGATGAAATATAGATCTGGCCAGCCATCGCTGGGCACAGAGACAGAGGCCCAGACCTTAGCGCAGCTGCCCGCAGCCCCAGGCTTACTAGCTGGGACCTGGAGCCTCAGCCTGCTTTGTTCTCAGGCCCAGTCAGGTTCCACAGAGCTCTGGCTCTGGCCTTCCTGCCCACCACGGCCCTGGGGATACCAGCTCCCAATCCCTTTACAGATGCTCGATACCCTACCCCACCCCCCTGGGTCTCACACCTTGAAGAGGTAGGTCTTCCCCTGACAGTTGATTCGGGTGAAGGCAGCATCAATGGGGCCCTCGATGCCCCAGACATCTCGGATGAGCTTGGGGTACCCAGGCCTCACTGCTGTTTCATCTAGCTCATAGCAGTACTTCCCTGGAGTGGAGGAGGCTGTGTGAGGGAGGGGTGCTCCTGTGACCCCCCACCCCAAGACCTGCCCTAGCAGTCACCTCGGAAGGCAAAGATGGAGCCATTCTTGAGGTCAGTGAAGGCATCAAAGGGCTTTCCACTGCACAGCTCTTCCTCTGCGGGGGACTCCGGGGCTCCTTGATCAGTGGCCTCAGGACTTAGGCTCACCCCCTCAGGCCCTGAGGTCCCTGTCTCAGGCCCAAGGGTGCTTGGTGCAAATGCAGGAGCCTCTTCCTCAGGGTTCAGGACAAGTGTTGGCTCAAGAGTCCCTTCAGGCTGGGACTGCAAGGCAGGGCTCTGGGAGGGGCTCTCCGTCTGTGCGTGGTCCTCAGGGTTCTCCTTGGTCTGGTAATCGTAGTACCCATACTCATCTTCCGCCTGAGTGAATACATCCCCACGAGTCACTGCAGGCAGAGTGGGTGCTAGTGAGTCTCCAGTGGCACAGGGGCTCCCAGGCCTACACCCCTGGGTTCAGAACACACCTTGGGGCTTGCACTCAGCCATGTAGTCACTGCAGCAGCTCTGGTAGTAAGAGCATAGCTCATCACACTGACACTTCTTCTTAAAGTTGAAACCCTCAATGCAGCGCCCCTTGCATGACTCTAAGGAGAGGGGATGTTAGTTGGTACAGCTGTGCCCAGCCGCCCTTGCCCACCCCACATTGCCCTCAATACCCTCCCGCACCTTGGTCGGCCAGAGCAACCCATGCCAGCATGGCCAGCATGAGAAGGGGCCTCAGGGGTGCCATGGCAGGTCCTCTAGCTGAGGACCTGGGCCGCTGGTCTCTGAGCTCCTGAAGTCTGTGCTCCTCTGCTGGAGGGAGAGAAAGGCCAGACAGGGAGGGAGGGAACTGGAGAAGAGGAGCTGCCCTTTCTGTTGCTCTGTTTGCTTAACCTCAAACCCCACCCCCAGTTTCCTGGCCTGGTGCTGTTGCAGCACAGGGTCACATTCCTAGAACCCTGGACCTGGGAGAGCTGGGAAACAGAATGTTTGCTAAACTGGAGGTCATCAAGTCATCAGGACAAGGCTACCAGGAAATATAGCAGAAAATTCATCCTGTCACTCACTGGACAAATTTTTAACCTCTCTGGGTGTCAGTTCTCTTTTCGGTAAAGTGGGACTATAATACCTTGCCTCATGAGGTGTCAAGAGATTACATGAGCTGGACCAGACAAAATGCCCAGGGTAACTTTAAATGTGTTCCCATAAATGGTTATTGATCCATGGTTTGTTTGATTAGACCCATCTCTGGCTAGATGCTCATCCACCCATTGTGTACTTAGGGCAGTGGGAGAGAGAAAGAGATGGTATGATCTCTGGGGAAATTTTCTCTTTGTATCATAAAATTACAAAGTTTCATTTCTGGCTTCTGTTTGGTAGTGCATCAGTCTGAGTTGGTCTGTACTACATAGGAAACTGTAAATCTGATCACATCAGACCAGATTAGATTCCTGAGGCCTCCACTAATTCATTGTTCCTTGGGCAGTCCACTCTCTTGTCTCTGTCAGTCTCTTGCTCTGAAAAGAGTGGGTTTATTTAGCAAACGTTCAGACTCTCACAAGAAGTATGATTCATCTACCCAAAGCATGCCCCTTGGCAAGGAATACCTGATTTTGGCATACCTGATTTTGCCATCCTTTTTTTTTTTTTTTTTTCCCCTCCCCATACCTCCGCAGGCTTCTGAAGCCTTCCCACCACCTGGAAGACATGATCCTGTTTTAAACTGACGTTTTCTGTCCTGTACTCAGAAGAGAGGATGTCTTTGACCATTCTCTTCTCTGTGGGTCTCAGTAACCTCAGCTGTAAAATGGAACAGTAATCCTACTCCACGGGAGTGTTGTGAGGCTTAGTTGAAAAGAATGCATAAAAAGGCCTTAAAAGTTTGTACAGGGGCTGAAGATGTAGTTTGGTGATAGAGCGCTTGTCTAGCATGTGGTGGTGGTGGGGGCTGAGTTCCATCCCTAGCACGGCAGGAAAAACAAAACAACAAAAACCCCACGGAATTACTGATTGCTTTAACCACTAGGAGGGGAGGGGGCTCCACTCAGAGATGCTCCTCTCTCCAACCTCTTCCTCCACTTCTAGGGCAGGACAGGGGCAGGGACAGAGCCAGGCTGTGGGCGTGGTTCGTGAAGGTTTGGGTGTGGGGTGTGCAGTGGAGGGGGCGGAGTCCCTGGGGACCAGAGGCGGGGCCTCCGCTCCGGGACTCGCAGCTCGGGGCGTGGCTACTGCCCAGCATCTCTCAGCCCAGCAGAGCCCCAGCTGGAGCCGCGCTTTGTTCTGGCCGCTGCCTTCTCTCCCCGGCGCCGCGTCTGGATGCGTCTTCTGCCTTCCCATTCCCTCCCTCCGCCCGCTCCCTGAATCTGGGCTCGATTCCCCTTCCCCGACCACTGCGGCCGAGCTTGGCCGCCCCAAACCCCAAACTTCTGGCCTGCGCCCTTGGCCTGCGGCCTCTCTGCATCCTTCCGTTCGTCTCCTTCCCCGCCCGCTCGCC